GGCATGGACTAGAAACTTCCTGTTTAATCTTGTAAAAATATAGATAAAAAAACATATAAAGGTATATGCTTTTTTGTTGGTAATCTTGTCCTGTATCTGAGGGCTGCGAACAAAGGATGCCTTTCGTAAACATCGTTAAAGGTTATTATTGAGAAAGCACAACATTAAAATAGCAGACAATGTATATGAGATTAGTATTTTACTTCTAAAACTATTAGGTCATTGTATTTTCTTAGTTCTCTGAAATTTAGGATTCTATTAGAAGTAATATTCTCTTTGTGTAATTTAGCCCTTTAAAAATGGTCTTTATTGTTAAGACTGAATTTTGTAGCATAATAAACTATTAATGAAATTTTAGGTGAAGGTTCATCAGCTAAATGTCCATCTCATTGCAGCCATTATGGACGAAAGCGGTCAGAAGATACTATTTCCTTTATAAAAAGTGAAGTACACCTTGCAATTCCTAATGTGGTAGGTATTATTAAATACACTGATATTTTGGTAAGGTACTTAAGAAGTATGGTATTAGAACTGAGCTTTCATTTAGAGTAATGTTTTGGTCCTATGTATTTTTTTTTTACTTTCCCTCACTGTTTAACAAAATGGAAATGTCATTACTATCTGTTATTAAAATTACTTCTGGGCCGGTGTGGTGGCTCATGCCTGTAATCCCAGCACTTTGGGAGGCTGAGGCTGGCATATCACCTGAGGTCCAGAGTTTGAGACCTGCCTGGCCAACATGGTAAAACCCTGTCTCTACTAAAAATACAAACATTAGCTGGGCTTGGTAGTGGGCACTGTAATCCCAGCTACTCAGGAGGCTGAGGCAGGAGAACTGACTGAACCCAGGCATTGGAGGTTGCAGTGAGCCAAGATCATGCCACCGCACTCCAGCCTGGGTGTCAGAGTGAGACTCTGTCTCAGAAAAAAGAAGGTTACTTTGTATTAGCTCATGGTGTATTCAAGGGCTAGTATAAGAGTTGAGTTAGGCATCTGTTCTGCCATCAATTAGCAAGTACCCTACAAATTGCCTTGCTTCTTACTTCAGACATCAAATTATCTAAATAAAATCATCACAGGTGTCCTGATCCCTACCCCAAACACATGACTAAGGCAAACCACTAAGGGCGGCAGAAGATAAAGACAGAAAGAGCCTGTTCTCTGAGCATCTGAATCACCCGTGTCTTCCCATGGCACTTATCTCTACAACTACCCCAGCTGCTGATGGGCATCTGGAACTCCAAGCCACATGGGATGGCTGAACTGCATTCTGTGATGGGTCAAAGAATAAGGCCAGGCAGAAATGGTCTGTGACTCACCTAAAACCACCTTTACGTGGTCTGACCTACTGAAGGACAGCTTTTTAGCTTATTTGGCACATTTCTAAGAACCGAGGTCAGAATCTTGGTGATGTAGTTTCTTCAGTTAGTTTGTTTCATGGATCTCTAACAGTAGTCTGTAATTTCCCACTGCATTCTGCCACCCTCGTTGGGAAAAGGATGACAAGTACTAGTTTGACCTTTTTAACAAAATCAAAATGTCATTTCTATCTGTTATTAAAAAGTTACTTCTGCATTAGCTTGTGGTATAATGAGGCCTGCAGAACAGGAAAATTTCAGGATAGAGAAAATCTGCACCCCCCCATCCTCCTCTATCATTCGTCCCCTCAAATCAGCCTTCTACTGGGCCAGCTGAGGCTTGGCCCACTCAGTGGAGAATGGAGGTGATGAAAATCGAGGGATGGACTGTATGCCCTGGCGTTGTTAATATTTGCTTCTTCTTTCCACAGGTAATGATTCCTAGTTTGGATGACATTCAACAGGCCATTAACCGTATGATCCAGTTAACCCTGGAGGTCAGCAGAGGAGTGGCTCACTGGGGGCAACAGCAAATCCGTCCCATCAAGTCTGTCATTCCCAGCCCCACCACTACTGACCTGACCCATCAAAGCACAGGGAAATCAATGAAGAAGGAAGAAAGTAAGAATGTAAAATTAGCAAATGATCTTATTGATCCTTCTTGGATTTGATAGGATGTAGATTTTTAAATTTTTAAATTTTTTTATTATTTTAAGTTCTATGATACATGAGCAGAACATACAGGTTTGTTACATAGGTATATATGTGCCATGGTGGTTTGCAGCACCCCTCAACCCATCATCTACATTAGGTATTTCTCCTAATGCTCTCCCTCCCCTTGCCACCCACCCCTGACAGGCTCCCGTGTGATGTTTCCCTCCCTGTGTCCATGTGTTCTGTCCATGTGTTCTCTTGCTCAACCACCTGAGTGGGGGTCTCTTGGCCGACCTAGTGCTCGGTATACAACCTTTTGGCAAACTAGGAATATGACAGATTTTCCAATAGTGGTATCTGTAAAAATATTTAGAAGTATTCCATTACCAGTAAAACGAAGAATACAGAAGGAAGTCCACTATAATTTTTATTTGATAGTTTACTAGAGATCTTCGTTATGAAATAAGAAGAAAGAGAAGAATTGAAGAGGAAGACTGAGATTGGCCTTATTTAAAGATTATATATAGAAAATCCAGGAAGTCTACAAAGAATCGTTACAACCAATACATTCAATAATGTTTATGTATGAAAGATCAACATACAAAACCCCCAGCAGTTCTACATTTACCAGTAATTCTACATTTACCAGTAATTCAATTAATATATAATAGAAACAAGTTTTTTTGTTAGCCACAAACCATAACGTATTAAATAAATATGAAAAAATTTGCACAGCAATTTTTGGAGAAAATATTACTGAATGAGATAATGGAAGACAAGAATAAGTCCACATCACGAAGAAGTCAATTCTTTGATTAATCTATAGATTCAATACAATTCCAAAGTCAACTTGATTTATAAATTTGATTGTAAAATTATATGGAAATAAAAAGAGTTAAAAATAGCCAAGAAAAATTGGTAGTGAAGAAAAGCAAGGTAGGGGGCCCTGCCCTGTCAAATAGCAAGGAGTATTACAAAACCAGGCTAATGAAGGCAGTCTTTTAATGATCCAAAGATAGATAACATACAGCAGAACAGGGCAGAAGGTGCACCAACACTCATATACAGGAAAATACATGATATAGGTGGATTTATGAATAGTGGAGAAAGCATATACTATTAATAAATGTTGCTAAGGAGTTTTTCCATATGGGAAAACTTACAGTAGTATCTTAAGTTAGATACATACCACACCCACTATTCTATATCCTATGACATTATTCTGTTTTACAACACTTTTGGAATAAAACAGCAAATATATTTAAAACATCAGGATAGGGAAGGATTCTCAAGACATATGAAGCTCAAACCGTAGAATAAAAGATGTTTATATTGGACTTTTTTATATTTAAAAACATCTTTAAAGGACCCTTAAATTTAAATGACCATGCTGGAATCCTTAAGAAAATGTTAGCAAGCTGAATCCAGCAGTATATAAAAAGGATTTATAGTGTGACCAAATGAGGTTTATCCCACAAAAGCAAGGTTGGTTTAACATCCTAAATTACACCATATGAATAGAATGAAAGGCAAAACTCATGATCATCTCAATAGACATAGATAAAACATTTGACAAAATCCACCACCCTTTCATGATAAACAGGCTCAACAATCTGGGAACAGAATGAACTTCTTCAGCCTCATAACAGGCATCATATTGAATGTTGAAAGCCTGAATTCTTTCTCCCTAAGATTAGGGACAAGTCAAGAATACTAGCTCTCACCACATGTACTCAACATTATCCTAGAGGTTCTATCAAGTGGATTAGGAGAAGTGAACTAAATTGAAGATACACAGATTGGAAAGGAAAAAGTTAAACTGTCTTTATTAGCAGATGACATGATCTTGTGTATAAAAATAACCTAAGGAATCAACCCTCACCCACACAGACAAAAAACTATTAGAACTAATAAATGAATTCTGTAAGACTGCAGGATACAAGATCAATATACAGATAACTATATTACTAAATATTAGCAATGAACCATCTGAAAATGAAATAAAACAATTAAAAAATTCACAAAAGGAAGACTGAAATACATTTAACAGAAGTGTAAGGTCTGTACACTGGAACTGCAAAACATTGCTTAAATTTATACCACGAAGAGATACAACATGGTTATGGGTTGGAAGATCCAATATTATTAAGCTGACAATTCCCCCCAAATTGATCTATGGATTTTCTATAATCTCTATCAAAATCCCAGAAGGCTTTTTGTTGTTGTTGTTGCAGAAATTGACAAGTTGATCCTAAAATCTGAATAGAGAATAGGGATATTCAAAAGACCTATAATGACCAAAAAATTTTGAAAAAGAACAAAGCTGGAGGACTTATTACTCCTTCATTTTACTTATTAATTTACTTATTTATTTAGATATGAGGTCCCACTCTGTTGCCCAGGCTGGAGTGAGGTGATGCAGTCTTGGCTGACTGCAGCCTCTGCCTTCTTGGCTGAAGCAATCCTTCCCTCTCAGCCTCCTGAGTAGATGGGACTGCAAGCACACACCACCATGCTCAGCTAATTTTTGTATTACTGTAGAGATAGGGTTTGCCATGTTGCCCAGGCTGGTCGAGAACTCCTGGATTCAAATGATCTGCCTGCCTCAGACTCCCAAAGTGCTGGGATTCCAGGAATGAGCAACTGTACCCAGCGAGCTGGAGTCAAAATTTATCTTCAAAACATGTATCTTCAAGTTGGCCCCCATGATTAGAATTGATGCTTAGTCCACAGTTCTCCTGTCAGCCTTGCCACAATTCTTTTCTTTTGGCTTCTTTTATCTCTATTTGAATATGCATACACTCATAAAAACTTTGAGATTCTCCACCAAGTATCTTCAGGATCTAATTTCTTCAACTAGTTTATTTTAGGGTGATTTTTAGAGTAGGTAGATCTGCCTAGTTTTCAACTTGACACTCTAGAAAAATAAAAGCGTCGGCGACTATTGAAGACTGTATGAAACTGAACAATCTAAGGAAACTACACAAATACTCTATCAGTAAAAATGCCAGGTTTAACAAGCAGGAAGCCAAGATGCCAGATGCTGAGTATCTACAGCACTGACCTTTAAACACCCCTGCAGAGGTTTTCTCTTTGAATCCTCACAAGCATGTCCAGGAAGACTAAATGCCCCAAGGTCGTTTGGGTAATAAATGTAATGTCTTTCCTTGAACCACTATGCTGTTTCTCAGGGTGGAAATTTCAACACTTTGAACCTTTTCCTAAAGGACTTCAACATTTTCGGGGGTTTTAATCGGTGTCTTCCAGTTATCCCCTCTGAATAACAGTGCTTCTAGATTAAAGAAATCTACAGCTCAAAATCTGACACCATAGTTTAATGAGAATACATGAAGACAGCAAGAGAATAGCTCTTAATTACTCGAAATAGCTCTTAGTTACTTGGAAGGAGAGTCTTTAAGAAAATACAGTTTGAAAAAAGAATCACAAATATTAAAACTGATTATATTTAAAGTTGAATATAGGAGTTATTTATAGTGTAAAAACATCTGTTTTTAGGATCTTTTGAAGAAGTTATTCCTGCAAGGAAGCTGAAGAATTTTTACCCAGGTGTGGCGGAGCACAAGGATATTTCTAAGCTGGTCCTGCTCCTTTCTTCCTCTGTAAATTCTCTAAGAAAGGCGGCTCATGAGGCCCTGCAGGACTTCCAGAAGTACAAGACTCTCTGGACAGAGGACCGCGACGTCAAAGTGAAGGTGTCTTTCCACTACTTGTGATGTTGTTTGGGTTTTGTGTCTAACTCTTGAGGGTGGATCAGGAGAATATCAGGGATAATGATAGGAGCTCATGAGCAGAGGTCGAGAACCTATAAATACCAAGTACCTGTCACCTTCTAACTGGTGTAATTCTCACATGGATACACTGAGGCAATTGATATTACTGATATCAGACAGATTTTGTTTAATTTCCTTAAACAATTGAGTACCAATTATGTGCCACCACTGACTAGAGGCCAGGTATTCAAGGGTGTGTCACAATTCTGTAGACTCAGCTGTATTTTGGTTAGAGAATCAAGGAAACTTTAGAGCTCTGACTAACCATACCTGGCAGACTGTGAAATTTCTCGCCTCCCAGTGGACACCCCATTTCTTACTTAGCCACTTGCCCCATTGCACACACTAGTGTAAAAGTGTATGAGCAAATGCAGTTTTCTATTGCAACTATTGCAAGATTTATACTGCTAAAAAATCAAAGAAAATATTGACTGTTTTCTTACTGCAGGAATTTTTGGCTAACAACCCCTCTCTGACTGAAATCAGATCAAAAATTCTGCAATATGCTACTTTCGAACAGGAGATTGATGAGTTGAAGCCTGTTATTGTTGTAGGAGCACTTGAATTACATACAGGTATTTAAAAAGTGTTTATTATGTAAAGTATCTGCATTTCCACATGAAGTGTTACTTTAGCAAGCAGTTACTAAACTAACTTGGTATAATAATATTATTATATTATTTTATATAATATTATTATATTATTAAAATATGATATAATAGTTCTGTTATAATATTATACCAAGATATAATAATAATATAATATACCAAGGTATAATAATAGTATTATACCAAGATATATTATACTATTACTATACCACTAAAAGTAATGGCAAAAACTGCAGTTACTTTTGCACCAACCTAATATAAATGTTAAATAGTTCTGAGCCATTGATAGTTTTTGTACACACATACATAGACACACTACACAGGCCAGTTCCTCCACTGGTAGTCAAACAACTAAAACTATAGGTGAAATTCTCTTGTAGCTTACGGTGAGGAGGGGCTTGTAAACATGAGGTGGGAATCAAACAGCTTGAAGTCTGCCAAGAAGTTGATCCATTTGGGATTAAAGTATCAAAGGATGATGAGACAATCCTTAATGTTTGAAATACAAAGATGACTTTATTGCTTGCTGTAGTGACAGAGAGCTATATTGGTCAGGCACAGTGTCCTTGGCAGGGCAGACTGCTGGTCTCATACAGGGTGTCTGGGGAGCATGGGGTTGAAGGACTGTGCGTGTAGACGGGTTGACATAACTGCAGAAGGGTGCTTACTCAGGTGAGACTGTTGTAGGCTGGTAGGCTGGTTGGCACTCAGAGGCAGGTTTATTGGAATAAGTCTTTCTTGACTAGTTGACATTCAGAGGAAAGGGTCTGGCACTGATTAGGTTGCACACGTATGAGAACTGATGTTGAGTTGATGTATGGTTTGGGTTTAAAGCTGGTTGTGGCTGCTCATTATTACCATGGTTCCATAACAATCAGTCTTATCCTTAGTTTGTGGGAAGATTTTGTTCTCAGATAATATTTGAATAAGCTATTTTACATTCATTATCTACCTTAAGTAGGTTTTCAGGTCCGTTACCGAGAAGTTAGTGTAACTGTGGCTCTTGAATTTGACCACTTGGGTTACTTGACCTCTTTAACCTCTATTTCCTCTGCTGATGACAATGACAGTATCCGCCTCATGAAATGCTTTGAGTTGCTTAGCATAGTACCTGGTGCATGATTGATGTTGAATACATATTATTATTATATCTACCAAGGAAGTACTTGCGATTTCTGAGGAAGAATCACAAGTACCAAATAATCACAAGTACTTGAGGGGGATTAGTTAGCTGGAAATCAGAAACTATGCTTCAGTGGCAATAATTACAAGAACTTCTGTAGTGTTTTGGAAACTGTACTCTATTATAATTTTTCAGAAGTTCACATTTGTCTCCTCATAATGGTTAGCACTATGATCCATGATATAAAAAGCAACTGTAGTATACTGATAGAGTGGGCTGGGGTGCTTGTTTTTGGAGAGAGGAATCTGAAAATGAAGAGGAGGCAGTAGTTACAAAGAAAGGGGAGGGTGGGCTGAATCCGTAAGGCCTGAGGAAAAGAGCCCACCCCCCTGCTGCCAGGGGACCTCATGAGATATTGTGTCACAGCCTCAATCACCAGGCTGGCTGCATGGTCATTCTCAGGCCACACTTTCTTTCAGCTCCACAGGCCTCTAGGTTTAATGGTTGGAAGGTAAGTGTGAAACAGCCATGTTTCAATTTGGCAGAGTTGGGGAGTGGAGGGTACTGAGAGGAAAAAGGGGAAGGATTGATAACGCAGAGTTGACTAGTTAGAGCTATTTTGTTTTCAAGAAACAGAAACACATTTGAGCTATATTAAGGGAGAGAAGATTTATCCCAGAATCCAAGGTGCAACTGGGCCTTCAGAATGGACCCAAAGCAGGGACAGTGTAGGAAACTGAGGAAGTTCTTTCTCTCTCCCTCTCGTTTCTTCTTCCCTCTGTGCATGAGTTTTTCTGCTTCCCAGACTACTTGGCTCCTCGTCAAGCTTCATTTCACACTCTCAAGAAAGGACTCTGATTGGTCCATAATAGATGTCATGTTGACCAGGGACAACTGGCTAGGTCCAGGGTCCGGGGTCAGGGTAGACAGATACTCTGACCATGTGAATGATGTGTGGAGTAGAAAAATAAGAAATCTGTAAAATCATGGCTTGACAGGCATAACAATAGATTTCACTCCACTTCATGAGTCCCTAGAGAAAAATGCGGGAATAAATGAGGGCTGGTAATGGGATGGTCAGAAGAAGTGCAAGGGTCACACAGAACAGTGATAGAATTTATTTTAGAAATGCTCCCCCATGGACTGTGGTGTTGAACTCATGCACATCTCCAGGGGTATACATTCTCTGTGGGGGCAGGAATTAAGTCTTCAAAATCTAGTAACCTTATAGCACATGTAATTCAGACTAACCACATTTCAAGTGTCCAAAAGCCACATGTGGTTAGTGACTCCTGAATTGGACAGAGCAGTTATAGATGCCCCTATAGTTTCAGAATGACAGTTATATTCTAATTTAATCTCTTCTTGTCTTCATCAGAGCCCATGAAATTGGCCTTATCCATTGAGGCTAAGGCATGGAAGATGTTACTCTGTCGATATTTGAATGAGGAATACAAAAAGAAAATGTCAGACATGATAGCATTTATTAATGAATACTTGAAAAAGTTATCTAGACCTATTCGCGATTTAGATGATGTCAGATTTGCAATGGAAGCCTTGTCTTGCATACGTGATAATGAAATTCAAATGGACATGACTTTGGGACCAATTGAAGTAAGAAATGATTGCATTTTTTTCTTGGAATTCTTCCAAAAAAAAAAAAAAAGTAGAGACATGCTAAGAAAGTGATTCTTTAACATATCCCTTCATCTATTATGTGGCACAGTCTGCCTGTTTCTCCTCTCTGATGTTCATGTCTTTGGGAGAATTTTGGCAATTATCAGCAGTGAACACTATACAAAAGACACTGCTGTAATACAAAGGAATATTAATATATTTATTATGCTATACTGAGGTAGGTAGTGTTTCATTTTTCATACTGGCACCAATGTTTTGTGGAAAGGAATAATTGCCCCTTGTCATGTCAATCCCAACATGTTAGGCAAGTTCTCCCAATGTCTGTGGCTTGCCTTAGAAACCAATTATAGGTCTCACTCATGATGGGTGGTGTATGGCAGCAACAGTTCCCCCAGGCTCAGTAGCAAATTGCTGAAACTTAGATCAATGAAAGACATTTTTAGGAAACAGTATGAGTTTCCTATTTCTGCTATAACAAATCACCACCAACTTAATGGCTTCAAACAACACAGCTCGTTTTACAGTTCTAGACATCAGAAGTCCAAAAATGGGTCTTACGTGACTAACTCAAGATGTCAGCAGGGCCGTGTTGCTCCTGGAGGCTCTAGGGGGGAATTCATTCCTTCCTTTTTCCAGCTTCTAGGGGCTGCCCATGTGCCTTGACTCATGGTTCCCTTCCAGTGATGCCTTCACTTCTACTCCCATTCTGTCATTATGTCTTCTCTCACGCTGACTTTCCTGCCACACTCTTTCTCTTATGTAGACTTCTTTGATTACATTGGGCCCACCTGGTTAATTCAGGCTAAACTCTCCATGGCAAGCTCCTTAATGTAATTGTATCTGCAAAGCCCTTTTTGCCACGTAAGGTAATACATTCACAGACTTTGGGGATCAGAACTTGAACAACCTTGGTGAGGCTATTATTTTGTCTATTGCTAATGTTTAGAATGTTTAAGAACTAATATTATTTA